TTGTGGCTTTATATGTAGATGAAAACTTCATATGGAATAAATAAATAGAAATGCTGAGAAAACGAATACTGAATTTATTCTCTGTCGTCAACATATCCGAAACTTCGGACAATAATAAAACAGAAGCCTTTGAGTGTGAGTTTTTTGAAGAGAGGCAGCTTAAATGGAAGATTCCGCATAATTATGTTTATTATGAAAAACCAGGATAGGCTTCAAATCTTCATGAAGTTTATCAGAATAAAGTATTTCTTTCAAATAAAATGTTTGAACATGTAATTAATGTTGTCTGTAGTCGATTTGGGGAATCATTGAACGTGCCCCATACTTTAATACGATAAGTCATTATTCATTTAACTAGAGAGTGATAGATCATGCGATTTTTGTTATCTAAAATGTCCCACAAAGCATAAAACTGCCTGAACAACATTCTCAGACGTTTTGTTACATAATTAACATGGTCATCCTATTTTAGATGTTTATCTTCCATGACCCCTAATTGTTTTATTTCTTGTGTTCGTTCTATTAAAGGACAAGAGCACATTTCTGTTTCACAGCATATTTCTGTATACAGAGTGCATCTTCATTAGGCCGGTCGCTTTGGAGTAATGAAAATGTTATAAATTTAGTTTTATAGATGTTCAGACCCAACAAGTTGTAGTTCAACCATACTTGGATATTCTGCAGTATTTCTTCAGAATCTGTGTACTTACTGTAGCTGTGTCATCGGCACGGAAAATCATGTCTCCTTTGAAATTGAGAATGAAACTACTGGTATTATGTAGACTAGTAACAGAACTGGACCAAGTACCGTTCCTTGAGGAATCCTAATTTTCACTTCTCTGGTACTGCTGGTGTCATGATCTAGTTTGACTTTTTGCGTCCTACGTGTTAAGTAGTCTTGAATGAGAGACAGCGCTGCATTGTGCATTTCTTTAATGCCCCCCCTTTTATTTTTTGAACGGATCAACTCAAGAAATTGAAATTTAGGATAATTTGGGATTTCACTTCAAGATAAAGTATTTATGCATTAATTGAATTATCCCAAATTTCAATTTTTTGTGTTGACACGTTCAAAAAATAAAAGAAATGAAGAAATTCACTGTATAACTAGCTATTGAATATTATTCTTTCAACTTCCTCATTTTCATTTTTGAGTTGCATTTTTCTAATATAAATATTTGCATATTTATTGGCAAATAGCCTGTTGTTATGAATTCAACTTAAAAAAATGTGTACAAACATAGATATATATGAATAAAATAAAACCTTACCTTCTTTCAATTTCCTAATTGTCTCGTGCAATTGATTACTGACACTTTCTCCTTTATTTTCGCACAGATGGAGCTGGATCTTCAAATTTTCCACTTCGCTCTGACAATTGTCCCTTTCAGTTCTGATTTCCTCAATCTTCTGCTCCAATTTATTGACGTCCTCTTCGTTTCGAGTCCTGGCTTCTTCTAGTTTGCTCTTGAATTTGGACAATTCCTCCTTCAGCTGGCTGATGTTGACTCTATCCTGATCGAAACGGCTGTTGGCTTCCCGTTTGAGCCGCTCTAAAGTGTCTCTCTCCTCTTCGAGTTCTCTTCTTGTGGCTTCCAACCGATCGTGGAGCGCCTGATGGTCATGATGAGCTGGACATAAAACGCAATTTTTTTCACCGGAACACCATTCATCAATCGAAAACTTATCGACGAAACAATGCGTTCGAACATTAAATAAATATTGTTTTAATAACGCTTTGTTATGCAAATTAAATTTAGAACCAACTCATTTCGTTAATGTTTTGATGATATCATGCGGCGGCAAATACCTTTCTATTTTCATGAATGAAATCAGCACTTCGTTGTTTATTTTTTATTGGGTGCCGTTACTTGTGGCGTCTTTATTTTTAAATGAATTATTCGCTGCTGTTGCCATTTGCGTCTTTGATAGTCGTCAAGAAATTTTTTGAATATTTCTTATGATTGTAGGAGTAGGTACTGTGTGAAAAAAAAAATAGCTAATATTCTGTTGCGCACAACAAGCATAAATTGCCCTTGGATCCTCTAGGAGAAAGAAATATTAAGAGCAGATAGTTGTTGGTTCACAAATGGATCAAAAACACCTTCCGGTTCTGGTGCAGGTGTTTTCAGTCGCAGAACCAGGACAGAGATATCAACCTGTCTAGAAAACTATGCAAGTGTATTTCAAGCGGAAATTTACGCTACTGAATTGTATGTGAGAGATTGGAAGAATGTAACCTCATACACAAGTCGATAAAAATATTCTCAGATAGTCAAGCGGCGTTGGAAGCTCTTGGCTTCTACTGAGCAACGTCTAAATTGGTAGGAAATTGCCAAAAACGACTCTCCTCGATAGGAAGACTTAACAGATTGTCTCTGGTCTGGATTCCTGGCCATACTGGCCTGGAAGGCAGTGAGGCTGTTGACTTTCTTTCAAAGGCCATACTGGCCTGGAATCTAGATCAGAGACTGGATTCTGCTGACTTCCTTGTAAAGAAGGGTGCTGTTAGCAGCTTCATCGGACCAGAACCTGTCATTTGCATCGCTTTAGGCCAAAGAAAGATTGAACACCTGAATGGCAAGAAGATTCATGGGCTTCTGGCAGAATCTTCCAGGATTGGCTCACTCCAAGACGTTTATTCACCCTTCGAAGCTTGATACCAAACAGTTGTTGGTCTACAGTAGGAATGAACTACAATGTCTAACAGGCCTCCTTATAGGTCACTGCCATTTGAATTATCATATACAGAGACTCGGACGGACTGTCAAAAGACAGTGTGTGTCGCTTCTGTTTGGAAAATGATGAAACAGCAGAGCATATGCAGCAGTGCAGAGCATAAACAGCAGTGCCTGCCCCGCTGGAGACCGAATCAGGTTTTTAGAGTTCGGCAGAGCCTTACTCTTACCATGTGACCTGAAAGACCACTCACCATATAAACTAATTGGCTTCGTTGAGAAGTCCAGATCGAGAATAGCAGAGCATGTTTGGACTCATCAACATAACACCAAGTGATTCCAAGCTGAGATCATCCACAGGGAGGTACACTGGTTTAAGAAAAAGTTCAAAGAAGCTGCATATATGTTGTTCAACGACGCATTTAGCCAAGCTAGCGTAGGGATACGCAACATATGGAAACTTTCAATCAAGCGGAAAAACGGTCAACTCTCGCTTAACTGGTGAAGCGGAGAGAGAAAAAAGGGGTTAGGTGAAAGCGCTTGAATGACCTAAAAATAGTCATCTCTTGGAGAAATAGTCCAGTCATCCTGAAGACGATTGTGGATACTAACAACCGAAACGTTGTGAAGTCACTTGGTTTGAATTTATTTTTCAAATTTTTTACTCATTTTTATTCTTTTTTATTTATTTTTACCCTGTGGTCATCTTCATTTTGTATCATGAATATTTTATTCGTTTTATTGTATTTTTATTTCACGTTTTATTGTATATAATAATTGATATTTCAGCTATTCATTCTAATTGTATTTGTTCTTCATATTCTTCATATTAGACAATGAAAGTCCGAACTAATGAAATTCACCATGAACCATAGTCAACCACCTTCAAACAAAAGTTGGTGGAAATCAGTAGTATTCACGTTCGTGGAAAAAATTCCCTTCTGTCAACTTGGTCAAACTAAAGATCTGGACAGATTAGTATGATGTATTATGATTGACAATATTAATTGGTGAATGTTGTGTCGTTTGAAAAGTTGTTGATAAATTTGAAATCTGTGAAAAAAAAACGACATAACAATAAAATAAATGAATGAAGAGTTACTTAAAAAAGAAACACCAAAGACTAATAATCGACATGTCGTGAATTTTACTCTCATTGTTCATTCATTTTCTTTCTTCTCATTTTTTTCTCTTTCACCCGAACGTTTTGGTCCTGTTATTTCAATTTTAATTTTTCTTCCATAGATTTCAAATCAGTTTTAGACAATGGAAGTAGTTATATAACATTCAGATTGAAACGTCATCTCATCGCTGGGATTGAACTGATAATACTGTTATAGATCATGCCCGAAAGAAAGTAACGCCGGCCGCCACTGGTAACCATAAACCAAACGTGACATAGCTAAGAGCGCGGGAATGTACGATGATTCCCCGCCACTCGAGAAGCAGCGAGAATAATGCTTCCGATTTCGACGGAACTTCGGCGAAAATTCTACGATGTTTCATTATGATATTTCAACGCTAGCGGCAAGCATATCGACACAGTCATATAGACAGTCAAGTGGACGTTACAGTGCGGTACGCGAAGTGATCTAGTAAGACGATAGACATGCAAACAATAGTGGAAGTTTCAGTTGAAGCGTTTGTTGTATTTAAAGTGAAATAAAGTTAAGTTTGATTATTCAGTGTAGTCAATTATTGATCAACCCACGGGGAAAAACTGAACTTTTAATTTGGATGTTGAAAGATGTTGACCTTTTAATTCTAACTGTTTTTTTTGGGTATATAATCTATTACAATCTGAAAAATAAACAAACCTAATCAATAAAGAATCTGCTGAAGTGTAATAAAGGACAAACTGTAAAGTTCACCCCAAAAAGTTACTGCATAATGGTCTTCCAACAGGCACTTGACAACTTTGACAATTGATAACGGCCATCTTTTTAATGCTAGATCTGTCGAAAATTAGTTGTCATTTATTCCATTTATTTTGCCATGAAGGAAAATAGCATTCAACAACACGTGGAAATGAAAGAATTGTTTTGTCAAAATGGGTGTTCTGTTCGGGCAACGTACCGCGCGCTTCGTCCATTCAACGGTCGTCATAATCGTCCTACCTAGAGGACTATTCGTAATGTGGTAGACAAATTTGAGTCCACTGGTTCAGTAAACGATCGACCAACACCCGTACACCGACGAAACGCAAGATCTGCCGAAAAAATCACCGCTGCCTGTGAGAGTGTGCAGGAGAATCCGAGGCAGTCGATTTCGCGTCGCTCACAAGAGCTCGGCCTTTCGCAGACCACAATTGACCCAGGAACTGAAGGTAAACGACCATAGACAATGACGTATGTTCGCTGAATGGGCTTTGGAGCAGTTGGCAACTGCTCCAGCAGATTCTCTATTGATTTGGCCTTGGTTATTATTAAGATTGTGAAACGTTAGATGACTAAAAACAGTAAGAAGTATTGAGTCCTTTTCAAAAAATCCTTTCAAAGAATATGTTGATCTTATTATCAAAAGCATCAAGTCAATATTGCTCGTTAAATTGGAAAATTTTAATTGGGATTTCAAATCTTCAACTTTAAATCTACGACTTTGAGGTTTCAACAGCTTTTAACGTTGATTTCAATTTATTGACTCTTGAGTTCTTGAGAGATTCAAAATTTTTTCAACAGACTTCAGCATAATAGGAATACTGAAGTAGTTTAATTATTAGTTATCTAAAATTCAAGATCTGACATATTTTGTCTCCTACTTTAGCTCGCGATCTTAAGAGATTTTGAAAACGATCTCAAGTTATTGACTGTGAACATAATATTGGCTTGAAATACGAAGATTCTATCTTCATTTCAACTTTAAATTCTCTTCCTCTCATGTTCAAAATTTCGGAACGCGAGTACCACATTACTGACTACCATTCATCAATATCACTATTCACCTGTTTCTCTTCACAGTCTTTAACTAAATCTTCCAAATTTCTGTTGACTCTAGCATTTGTCTCATTAGCTTGCTCTAATCTTTGTCTACATCTCATGAGTTCTTCATTAACGGCGTCCCTTTTTCTGCTTAGCACCGTCAACTGATTACTCAAATCGTTCCTTTCTCTTGTCACTTGATTCAGTTCCATTTCAATCTGAAAATCAGTCACAACAGTTACTCAACAGTTAAGTTTTATTCACTGTAACACACAACACTTACCTTTCCTTTCTCAATGTCCAAAAATTTGCATTTCTCGGACAAGGATACCTTGTCGGATTCGAGATCTAGCTTCTGTTGCTCCGCCTGTAATAATTCTTTTCTCAACGATTGAATATCGCTTTGATGATCGTTGCATTGGTGTTGTAAGGCCTGTTTTTCTTCTTCTAGCTGAAACAGAAGTTCACATGTTGTACATTTGAAATTCATTTGACCCTAAAAGAAGATAATGTAGATGTGAAATTGCAATAAAAACTCGCGAAATTTCTATTTTGTTCGAGATAACTGATATGTTGACATTTTGCGAGACTACCTACTTGGTGTTTTGGTTTAATTAACGCTAACTATCTGAGTCCTTCCGGAGTCCACCATTCCTTTCCTCAAACATATCCTTTATGCATGTCTACTTCCCAAACGCCTGGAAACAGGCAAATACAATCCTTATTCCTAAACCTCATAAAGATCTCACCAAACCAGATTCCTATAGACCTATCAGCCTGCTTAGTTGTCTGGGCAAACTGCTGGAACGACTAATGACCCATACTTATAAAACCAGTCCTAGATGACAAAGCCATGATATACTGACTATCACACCGTATCCTAACAACCGAGAGAAGAATCCTACGCAACATCCACAACGTCCCTTACCGCTATCCATCTCAAACCTTATACAACCTAGTAAATACTACACCAATCAACCTACGATTTCAGGAACGATATACGACAAGAACGATGAGCAGCAATAACGCTGATGCCATCAACACGCTGACCACACCTTGGACCCGTGGAGGACCCAGAAGGATATCTAGCAAGAAACTCCCGTTTCCCCTAGGAGCAATGGAAGATCCGTCGGAGCAGATCCAAGATATCCTAGAGGAGTACCTACTGGGAATTAGAGCGGACAGCTACGTCTGGAAGGAGCTGAAATCGGACTACATCCACCCCTGGCCTAACAACTTGGACCCATATGTTCTGTCCACCGCAACGGACAACCCCAACGGAACAACGGAAAACAAGAGGAACACATGAAAACATAAGACAACACATCATAACATAAGACTAAATACACACAATCACCGAACCATGAAGAGACATATAGCAGGGCCCCTCTCAAAACACACTACCACAAATATTACGTAATTTTAACCAAAATTGAATAAACATTTTTGAATTGAATTGCCTTTTTTTTTATTCACTTCTAACAGAAGGCAATTTGATATATAGTGCTAGATATTGAAGTTTTGAATTGCTGATGACTAGGTTTGACTTTTGAGTTAACTCGAAGATGTAACATCCAGTACATCAGACTAAATTTTATGAAAGGAAGTTATTTGGCTTTCTATTTCTTCATCTTTACATAACAAAAGTTGCGAGCTTCCGAAGGAAGGAAGAAAGATGCATAGATTTCTTCCAAAAACATACCTCTTTTCAATTTGAACTGAATTCCCAAATTATTTATTGCACACGCGAGCCACTCTGTATGATTTCGTTTCAAATAAAAATATTTTAGTAGTGCTATACAAGACAAGGTTTGATGAACTGGCTAATCTGTTGATTGAACTTCAATGTGGAAGTTATTTTATAATATATAAACAAAATTATTCATTTATATACCTTGTTGAAGGGGTGATAAAGAGATCTGAAGACCCTCGTCATGAGACTGAAACTTGGCTTGCTTTATTCTGATTTTCTAGATTTATTGGCGGCCCATGCGAATCTACCTGTAGCTGTGTCTAACTTTAATTGATTTTGAGTACTCAGTTTCTGTTTCGAATCCGGATAGACTCTCATCTTCATCCTCTGAAACGTCCTCTCCATATTCCTGTTCCGATACAGCGTCGATATCTTCATCATGTGAATCAATAATCAGATCATCCACGATGAAGTCTGTCATCGGTTCATTTGACATGAAATCGTCCTCAAACTCCTTTGCTCTCGATACGTTGTTCACAATTCCTCTGCTTTATTCTCTGAGATCCTTGCTCTTCAGTTTACTGTTCGAAGCCATTTCCAAAGACAACAAATAACTCAGTGTTCACCACACATAATATCATTTCCACTTACTGTACTAACACGATGTTTACTACACGAGTTCCTCGATGTTACTGAGCTCTCGCCCCACTCCACCGATTGATCTACTGCGCATCCAATATCCAGATGCTCGACTAGATTTGCCAAGCATTTATTATATTGAAACGGTCCCGTAAAAGAATGAGAATATTGAAAATTTCAATAACCGAATCGCAAGCAAGTTTGAACATTTTGAATGTTTGTTTCTTGAATAAAGGGTGTTATTGTGATGGGAGGCACTTAATTCTAAGAATGTATATAATTACAATACCTTTTTTATATCATCCAATAACTTTTTCTTGTCCAATTCGAGGTTGGTAGCAATTGTTTCTTTTTTTACAAGAGAATCGTGAACATCAGTTTGCTCACCCAGAATTTTATCTAGATGCATTTCATAGTCAGCTGAAAAAATAATAGACGTTGTTGTTAGAATATACAGGGGCGCACAGAAGTCCGGAATAAAATTAATATCTTTTTAATCAGTATTTTAGGAAAAAAACGCTAAAACACATCAGTTGATTTCACGTTGTACGCATTTCTGGCAATAAAATGAAATTTTTTTTTTCAACTCCTTAGCTGCCACCTCCCCAATTTTTTTTTCAAATGCAAACCATGTCGTGTATGGGCTCATTGAAAAGCTCGTAAAAAATGGAATCTGACCATACCCTTTATTTTTCTTTTACTCATGTGGTTACCACGAAATGAGAAAAAACTTTTTTAAAACCAAAAAAGTTAGAAATACCTACTTAGTGCTATCTACGGTTGAATTAACGTTGCAAAAAAAAATAAGTGGTGATGATATACATTGCTCAACAATTGCTAAGGATCACTAGGACTTACTTTCTAAAAGTGTGCAAATTTTAAGAACAGACCAACCGGGTCAGGCACCACAACAAATTTTATTGATTTATGTGTAAAACTGATAACGTAATGTAGCATCAACATTCTGTGGATTTCACCAAAAACTTACACATAAAATTAGTTCCATCCCAAGCAATTGTTGACCAGTGTACCTCAAAAAGAGAAANTCATTTGTTCGACACCCCCGGACTTTTGCGCACCCCTGTATATGAATAAAATGGTTAAAAAATTATCATAATTTATAAAATCAGAATATTGAAGCAACTAAACTTTATCTTACACATGTTTCAGTCTTTCAAATTTAACTTACAAAGGAGAAACAGATTAAAGACTGCTTTAACCAGAAAACTTAGTTATCTATCAAGTATTAATTTACCTTTAGTTTTCTCTAAATTAGCAATGAGGTTGTCAGCTTCTAGTTTTTGCGCTTCCAACATGTCGTGCGATAAATATAACTTATTCAATTCTTCTCTAACGGTCAACAGTTCTTCTCTCATTCTGCTGCATCGATCTTCTTCGCCTCTGAGAGAGATTTCTCTCAAATCAGCTTCCTGATTCAGTCTCTCTATCTCCGATTGCAAAAATATCTTTTCGTCGTGAGCGGAGTCCAGTTCTTTCTGCATTTTGTTGTTGGCCTTATGGAGCCTGTCGTAATCTTGGTTCAGAGATTCGACCATGGCGTTCACTTCCAGGCGGTTTCGGTCCAACTGATTTTTCTCCGTTTTCAAGGCCTCTAGCGATTTCTGTATCATTTCTTTGTCTTGGGATAGTTGCGAACATTGGGCGTGGCTCGTGTCCAGTTGTGCGACTAGTTCTTTTATGCGATTTTCCAGGGCGGATACCGTGTCCTCGGAGTTTTCGAATTGTTTTCGAACTAACAAAAGTTGCTCCTTATTAGATTGGAGTTTCACCTGCGAAAACAATGAAATTCAGGGATCAGTCCCCTTTGATATATTCTCGATAAAGTCGACTGGTGAATGACTGCATGAAAGGCTTATAGAAAAAGTTATACAGGCATTGCACATTCAGTCATGATGAGAGTGAGGGCCTTTACTGTTCTCAAGAAATAGTATCGTTTTAATGAAATGTTTTAAGGTAACATCTCAGAAAGGAAACACAGTGTTTATAATGGATTTTATGCCGGCATATTACTTTGGAAAATAAGACAAGTAGAAGCACATAACATGGACATATTTTTGGAGATCGTGGTTGCAGTTATCAAAAGACCCAAGTATCTCAATGAATACATACCTACAGACACACACAGACACCACAAAACTTCTCCGATATTCAAGTGACGGACTATATTTCAATTAATGCAGAGTGAGCCTGGAAAACATACAATTTACCAACCCATACATGAATAATGCCATCGCCTTCCGCTGACCTGGCTCGAAAGCCATACAACTAGGCATCTTCCCCCTATCCAGCGCCACCACTGTCAGGGGAACCCCTACTCCTCCAACTGACCCCCCTTCGTGCGGCGCGTAACGCCAGCTACACGAAAGGACGAAACCACCGGGGTAGAAGACCCATGTGCTCTGCCGTTTCAGGCTCCCCTCAGCCACAGAGGCACTGAACCTCCGGTCCCAGGTTGAACCTGGCTAGGTAACCCGGGAAGTTACATGCCCCGTGAACTGTTGGTCAACCTTCCTCGACAGATTAAGAGATTCAAACCCGACTGTTTTACAGTATCTATGTAACACCCGCCCAATCTTTCCGTCTCGCCATTCCGTCTGCTATTCTTCCGTGATGCACTTTTTATCTTTTTTCTCTCCTCCTTCTTACTATCCATTCTCCTCACATTCAAAGTAACATTTTCGAGGTTGAGGTTTGAGTTGCCTCTTCATGGGCCTCATTGCCAAGGTTGCCTCTCTGATGTCCCCTACGCCATACATTTTGGGTCCGTGCCCCTTTGCTCTCCTTGCTTCAAACATTCTGTGAATCATGGCCACCATTTTGTTCTTAACACGTATCGCGTTCATCCGCTCCACAGCCATGGCAGAATCACTGACCACTCTCACGCTTTCATTCATGCTCCATGTACCTATCACTTTTTCTATCGCAATCAATTCAGCCTCGTTAACGCTGCCCCGTCGTCCAACTTACGACCATTCTTCAGTTTTCCATGTTCGCTCCGGCATTCACGTACATCTCGGGCATTCAACTTTCTCCAGCAGCATCCCTTGCATCCAGAGGAGTACCTTATCAATTTCTTTCACCATGTCCTCAATCTTTCTTTCTCTGCTGTCATGCGCTCTGCTCCCGCACGCTTGCACTCCATACATGTCTGCATGCTTGGCTACCCTTTCGTATGTCACTCTGACATATTCTCTCCTTAGTCCAATGTTCCGCCCTCATTTTCTCATTCTCCCTGCTAGCATACTCAGCTTTTTTCTAACCTCCTCGTGGTGGTCTAAGAACAAAAGTCCAGAGACCACCACAATTCCCAGGTATCTCACCCTTTCTGATTCCAACCTCCCTGCTATTCATTCTTATGACTGGGGGTCTATCATACCTTCTGGCCTGTATATACATGCATTCCGTTTTCCTATCATTATACCCCAACCACATCTCTTCCTCCCATGCTTTGCATTCGTTCCATACCAGATTCTCGATGCTCTCAACGAAGCCACCCTCGATGATGACCAGCTGGTCATCCGCGTAGGCCTGCAGGTGCATCCCATGTCTTACTTTCATGCTTCTCATTTGTTCGAACCACTCTTCCATGACTATCTACTTCTCCATCCTTGTACCAAATAATGTGTTTCAAAGATTTCATGAAGATGGAGAAGTAGAAAGCCAAAACTTTTCTTTCCCAAAAAATCTCTCCTAAAAATGTGCCCCCTTTGAATTTTTTCAATCGATCACTAGTCATTAAGATTATCCTAATTGGAAAGGGGAGATCGAAATATGATGATTACCTGTAGTTCATGAATGAATGATTGATATTTGTGAAGAGCAGCTTGCACAGCTGATATCGTACTCTCAGCAAAAGCTGCTGGGGAAGTCATACTGCGAGCTGATCTCTTTGGTGATCTATAAGATGAACATTTCGGTTAGTAGAGTTATTTGTTTAGATATGACGATAGGGGAAACATTTATACTATGATGCATGCAGGTATTATTTGTTTACAGTATTATTACGCTACTTTCCACCATTTTGGTTATCAATTATTGTTTTTTAACGGAAATTTGCTGGATAGTCTGATGATTATCAACTACCTTTGAGGTTTTCCCACCTTTTGTGTTTCGGGCCAAAAAGTATCAACTGAGATTTTTTTAAATTCAATTTCAGGTTATGGACTATAGGTAGATTCAGTAGCTTTTGTAGATCGCTGTTAATTTTTTTCATTGCCACCTGCCAGTTACTTGCAGGAAATCGATAATATAACTGAGTGTCATCTGCATAATGATGAACTGTGCAATGATCAATTATTTTATGGAAGTCAGATATATATAGAGAGAACCGAATGGGGCCAAGGATAGAGCCCTGAGGTACTCCATAGTTAACATGGAAAGCACTAGAACACTTTCCATCCAGACATATCAACAGTCCGATTTCTGAGGTAACTTTTCAATAGATGAAAGGGTTAGCAAGTAACTCGAAGTATAATTACCTAACTTAGTATAGAACTTCACAAAAGATACAAAAATTTGTCAAATTGACACCATATATTTGAGGTATTTCTCTGATGACAGAGATATTGCTCTCTCACTCGATCATATGAGAAAAAGTTGGCGAGAATATTTTTTCAATTTTTATCCAGTTTGTTTTTGTTAGATCTTTGACCTCAATATTGTGAGCGTTTCTGGTGATGATTCATTCAAAAAGAGACAGAAACAAAAAATCAAAGTATTTTTCATAATAAAAATGTTTCAATACGAATCTGGATTGAAAGGGTGAAAACAATTCATCAACAATTCATCAAATGATTCATATCTTACCATAATTTGTAAATCCCTGAGCAATTGTTGAATTTTGTCGTCTTTCGAATCTATTTCAGTCTGACGACTAACATTTTGAGCTTTCAAAGATTCCAACTGGACTCGGAGTTCGGCCGTTTCTTGTTCTAATTCGTGTTTTTCTTTTCCCTGTAACAAATTGAAAATTAACATTAACCGTTCATTCATCAAGGTATCAAATTATTGTATCCTGCACCTTCGCTTGGAAGACGAATGTATATTGACTGAGCAAGGAAGTTTTTTGTGTACTTCGGTGTAATGTGACCTGTGAGCATGGTAGAAGTTGGTGGTGGTCAGCCTAGGATCTAATGTCTCTTCCAGATATTCAAGTCCCTCAGACAAGTGTACTCCTTCACCTTAACGTTTCAGATGTCCTAGTTCGCCTGTCTTGTTGATATTAGCGAATGTTTGTTCGACCTATTCTGATATAAAGTTCGGGGCTTACTAGACGCGACCACTTATTGTATCAATATATTGAGTTTGGCATTACGTTTGTACCTAGAATATTGTCCATTGAAAGTTTCCATTACATCCCTTCTGGGGACAGCCCTTCACTAACCTTTCCACTAATGCTTTCCATTTAATCGTCGTGTTTATGAATCTTCCTCCGAGGATACACCGTATCCATCTGAAGCCTATCCAAACAGGGAGTCTGGATGATTGATTTCAAGAACGTATTATCGAATGCGCCTTCAATGTGCAAGAAAGCACTTGAAAATACTTTATTATTTTCGTAAGCATATTGTAACGAATCTCAAGTCGCCCCTGACCGATACGCCAGCCGGCTCATCGAACAAACATATGACATCACCGCGAAAGAATGCAGTCGGAAATCGCCGGTGAAATTCTAGGACCGAATCGACTACAGATTTCTAGAAAGGATAGTTACTGATATAAGCACGTCTTCCCGACCCAAGAGGGCAGTTCAGAAAGTGAATCGCGCGGCTAAACAACAAATTCAAATAGTGGAAATGAATTAAGCGTTAGTTTGTAAGTGTTGTGAATAAATTAGTTTGTGATTGGTGAAATATTATTGGAAATGAATTTGTTTAAGACAGTTAATTTATTAATTTGTCACAATATTCTACTTTTCTTCAATAACATGATTCGGCCTACCCCAATTTATTTCTTTGCTGAATTATGGAAGTGACCCAGTTATCTTAGTCAAAATTAGGAATTTAAGATACCCAGCTATGAATTCGTATAAATTTGGTCACAAAAATTGGAGTATTGCAAATATCTCGTTTCCTATGGGGTTTTCGTTATTTGAGGTTTGTATCAATATTGTAGAAGATTGAATTCCCTACAACTTTTGTTTCAAAGAATGTTTGATACGTTGAATCGTTTTCGAAGTAGAAAGCGGAAAGTGCGCGGTTAGAGCTTCATTCAAGGTCAACCGCGGTAGAGCCGGACAAAAAAACGTTTATTCATTATTGACGAATACATAACTATTATTAATTTTCATTTTTGTGTTTTTTAGAAAAGGGGAAAAACGTTTTTGAAAGTATTTGAGAAACTGCCGAATTTGGATTAACTTGCAGCAACATTTGAAGAAGAAAACTGTCTGGCAGTCTATAAGTCTCCAAAACATGTGAACAGTATGGATCATCTTCATTATGCACAATACGTCAGTACGAAACTGAATAAATCTGTGCAAATATTCCACCAACAGGTGCAGCAGCTCACCAACATTTCAATCGTATTTATTATCAATATCATACTTTGTTAGGGTATTATTTGGAACTCTAGGAATGGGGTTAGGCAATGCGTAACCAATTTTCTGGAATCTATCACAATTTCAGCACCTGCTCCAGAGGAACTGCTCAAGACAATATTCTGCAACTGCAAGAGTAATTGTGTTTCGCGATGTGGATGCAGGAAATCGGGGTTGGAGTGCTCTTCAGCTTGTGGTCAGTGTAATGGGTAAGCTTGTATGAATGCTCTGTTATGTAAGAGCGATGTCAATGAAGACAGAACCTTTGACCCTGAAATCATGGAAGACATGGAGACAAATGTCGTTGAAGACGATAAAGAATAAGAAGATAATTGAAATTATAAGTTGTAGTTCCTGTATGTATAACCGTATACTAACCGATTTTACCCCATACGGTTCTGCCTCAAGGTAACCTCAAACGAACATTTGCTCACCACAGCAAACACAAATAAATTCGGTTGAAACAAACATTGAATATAATAGAAACACATACAATGATATCGTACTTACCTACATTGAAATCTATTGAAAGTAGGTACACACTTGCAGTGGTTATTTTGACGAAAATTAGATCTCAGCACCCGAAAAACAATGACATTGTTTAACTTTGCAACGAACATGGCGGCACCAACAAGTTTCTGTCGACACATGGCTCTCATTGGGAGATCACATTGACAGAAATTTGAGCGCGAAATTCAAACAGCCAACAAATATAACCTTTTTATCCCGGTATACGGTTTTGGACGGGTCTCCCGTGAACTAATAATTTCTTTCTTTCTTTTTCTTTATTTATTTATACTCACACCAAACATTGTTTCCGTAAACAAATTGGTATCCATCCTGCTGCACGCCATGATCATCTCCTTGCCCACTCCCGAGACGTCCGCCTTAATTTTATTCAGGTCTCTTTCAGTATTTGTTTGAATATCGGTAAACAGTCTTTTGATTCCGACAACATCCCTCCAAAGGTTCAGAAGTCTGTTGTGTTCGGTGCTATAGTAGTCGTTGAACGCTTGCTCCTCGTCTTTCCATTCGTCTTCCTTTATGATCATTTCTTCTCTCAAATTTTCCCAGTCGTTCGTGAGCTTCTGCAGGTCAGCCGTGAGGGCCTCGTTGGTACTGTGAGATTCTTCCAGTTGTTCCCTCAGGGAGGTGTTCAGCTGCATCAGTTTTTCTGTTCTGAAAATATCATAAAACATAGATAAATACTTTCCGTAATAAGACAATGGTATGAGGAGTATTGATAAATAGGTACGACAAACTTTGGGGGGTGATTCTGCAGAAAAAAATGACAGTTTGTTATATACGGTTATTTCAAAAGTTTTGTTCATTTTCAAACTGTAAGATCTCAGTGAATGGGGAACATTAATTTTAGGGTACCTCAAGGTTCTATCCTTGGCCCACTTTTATTCATTGTATATATCAATGACATATTTCATTACATCTGTCCAATAAAATGTATTTGTTATGCAGATGATTGTTCCCTTTATGCTTCTGGCAAGAAACTTGATCACTTGAAAGAAACTCCATATGATTTTTTAAGAAAATGAAACATGATTTGTTTGTAATTGCTTGAAACTCAATAAAAACAAAACTCAAAATATTGTTTTTTCAACCAACAATACGATTTCCAACAATTCAGAAGTTTAACTATTTGGAATTGTTATGGATGAAGAATTAAAACGGTCAGCGCATATTGAGCACATAAGTGAAAAATTAAACTCAACTCTCTTCATATCACAGAAACTGAGCAGATTTGCTAACCTGGCAGTTTTGAAAACAGCCTACTTTGGCTTATTTCACTCTCACATTAATTACGGTGTAACTCTATGGGGAAACGCTGTAGACTCTGTGAGAATTTTTAGACTCCAGAAACGAGCTTCACGAATAATATCTGAAGTCAATTATAGTCACAGTTGTCGCCCCATATTTAAAAACCTAGAGATACTCACCTTACCGTGTATTTACATCCTCAATCGTTTGCTGGATATTCATAGAAATAAAGGAAAACGTCAAAAAAATATCAATATCACAATTGTACCACAAGAAATTGTGGTATAATTGTGTAACTTGATTCAACCAACTAGACATCGTTTATTGACTGCTGAACGCAATACCTTAGACATACATGATGACGAAAAGAGAATTGAAACTTTCTATATTTTTACCACTTTTATTTGTAACTAACGTTACTGCAGTTTCGTTCTATAAGGACATTTTCAAACTTATACATTAAACTAACAATGGTTCGAGCTTTTTGACCTTTCTAATACGTTTCAAAGAATCCACCCTGCTAATCCTTTCCAACAATTACCCAGCAACTACACTCCAGGAATGTACCCCTGGCAGTAAGAGAATGGATAAGTACTCAAATTGCTCTCTAGTAGAGCAATAAGTATCAATGTAGAAAACATCTCAGTGAGATGACAGGTCATGAGGGGATGTCCACAGGGAGGGATCTTATCACCCCTTCTCTGGAACATAGTTCTGGATACCCTGATTAATCACCTCAACAATAATGGGTTCTACACAATTGCATATGCAAATGACGTGATTACCTTGCAGACCGGCAAATTTGCGAACACACTGTGCGATAGAGTGCAGGATAGGCTCAAACTAATAGAAACATGGTGTAAGGAACACTCACTGTCGATCAATCCCAAGAAGACTGAGATGGTACTTTTCACCAAGAAAAAAAAGTTTATCGGGCTTTAAACCTCCAGAAATATTCAAAAGCAAACGAAACTTGTTTGAAGAGGTGAAATAACTTGGTGCTATCCTCGACAGGAAGCTAACATGGAACTCTCACCAACAGAGTAGAGCAAAAAAAGCATATGTGGCTTATGAGCAATGTCGGAAGACAGTGAGACGCGCATGGGGTCTTTCATCCCTTGTGGTCACCTGAATCTACGCTGCAATAATAAGACCTACGTTAACGTACGGAGCCATTGTTTGGGGGCCGAGAGTTCTACAAGCAACGGCCATCCAAAAATTATATCAAATACAGCGACTGGCTTGTTTAAACATCACAGGAGCCATGAGAACAACACCAACCGCGGCAATGGAATTAATTACCGGTCTGACCCCTCTGGACCTGTACGTTAAGGAGGTTGCCTTGGTCATGGTACGATTGCGCATGGCTGGTGTAAACCTCGAAGTAGGAATGGGTCAATTGAGGCTGAGCCTATGGCGAGGCAAAATACAAATAAAATAGAACACTGAGTCAGATGCTACAAATGCAATACGCATATATACAGACGGCTCAAAAACCAAAGAAGGCTCAGGATGTGGAGTGTACTCTAAATCACTAAGCCTAAGGATTAAGTGGGGAATGGGAAAAAATACCAGCGTGGTCCAAACAGAACTAGCTGGTATCTCAATCTCCACAAAAGACATATCCAGGAAAGGAATTTCTGGCAAAAACATAACAATCTGCACTGACAGCAGACAAGCCCTATCAGCCTTAAACAGACAACGTGTTACCTCAGGGCTAGTACTAGAGTGCCACCTAGATTTAGCCAAAGCCTCGGTAGATAATAACATTATCCTGAGGTGGGTTAAAGGGCACGACAGGAGTAAATGTAATCGCATTGTCGACTCTTTAGCCAAGGAAGCGGTTGGACTAAGAATTTCAGGACCCAGTGGCACCTACGGCCTGATGACTTCGACAATTGCGGGATGATGATATCAAAGAATGCAATTTTGCCAGGATCACCCTGGGCGACCCTGGAAAGCTGGCGCCGAAGAAATATCTGGCGATGACCAGGAAAAATCTACGTTTAACAGTATGATTTCTGACTGGCTACTGTCAACCAAGAAAACAACTTAAAGATGGGGGCAGTGGACACACCTCTATGCAGGATGTGTGAACAGGAAGATGAAACTGTCAGGCATGTCCTATGCTAATGTCCGGAGTTATCATCAATAAGAGAGTGAGTCGACGAGTCTTGGTCTACACCTGCTAATGTCTCCAAGTGACCTGTCCACCTTCCTGGAAAGGACAGGATGGACAATGACCTAGGAGGATAATTCCTTGAGAGGATGTACAATGGGTCACATTTGGCCTAATTGCTCTGGGCCTACACTCACCCTCCCTACTCTACAGAGATGCAGATATGTTTCAAACTATCAAAAACCGCATAGGACTGATTTCTGGTTCTTCCGCCATCCCACGTACCGTTCATAATGGATCAGTTTGCACCAGGGTCCAGGACAAAACTTTCGTCCCCAAATGCTTCGTTTTCCGAGATACAGGGTGTTTAAGTTTGTCTTAAAAACAAATTATTTATGATATGAAAATGAAATTTTGTGAGTGTTGAGAGGTAATTAAAAATGTTATGTTAATCATTGGCGAGTATACGAGTAATTATCTCAATTTTTTCAAGGAAAAAATGGTACGCCACTGACATATTTCAATTTAAAAGTCAATTTTTGAATTCCTCATTCAGTTTGTGACAAACAATTTTTCCTGGCTTCTTCCGTATGGAGCGCCGTTTTTATGCAAAAAATAAGACATCCTAATGCGTGTTTTTCATTCCTTTAATACATTATCAAGAACTATCTAATACAATGCCATTAAACCAGAACAATAACAGAAAATAACACTAATAAATGAACAGGCGCAAAGCCGCAACAAATATTCAAAATAACCTCCCTCACACTGATACGAAATTCAACCCTTCGCCTCATTCACTGTCGTATCCGCGCAAATATTCCTGTTGTATTTCTAATTGTTGCACAGCCTCAGGTCTCCAACATTTTCGACGGGAAAAATCTAGAAAATTCAAATCTGGCGATCGAGCAGGCCAATGTTCCGTACCTCCCCTACTCATCCAATGACTTGGGATACCTATACTGTGTATCGTAAGTTTATGTCTACACTAATACTGAAATCGGTTGGTACCCCATCATGCATGAACCACAAGTTTTGTCTCAGTTGTAGAGAAATTTCTTCAAGAAGAACAGGTAACTCTTCCCGCAGGAAACGAGGTGAGAGGTGTGGTGAGGTAAGAGTTGAGTGCCCCAAGCCACGCATTTACTGAAAATGGGCTTGAAAGATTCTATGTGGATTTTTCTCAGCCCAGAGGTGATTGTTAGGGAAATTTTGTGTACACAGTCATCCAAAATTAGCCTCGTCAGTAAACAAAGAGGCAAAAACACTCTAGGTAGTAGAGCTTGCACACGTTGAATATGAAATGGAGACAATTGGTGTTCTTGAAGAAATTCAAATACAGCGAAGTTGATTACATTCAATATGTTGGTAATTTTTCGAGATTTTGTTTCAGATGACTCTGTAATTAACTCGAGAACTGCTTCTTATAGTTGCACAGTTCGTACTTTCATTCAATTGTGTTACATCATTTGTACCTCCCTGATGAGGTATAGTAACACCGGTTATCGCAATATGTCATATTTCAGATGAAAATACCAGGTAGCTATAGTTCAATAAAATTATAAATAGATGTCATTTCTGTGAAAAAAAATCTACGTTAGTTAGCAACCAATAACTTTTAAGAAGTTTGTGTACGTTTCATCATAACCTAAAATTCTTGGAAATCTAAAAATGGATTTATCGCTAATTTTCGTAACAAACAAAAAAAACTGCACATTATTTTTAAACAAATTCTATTTCGATAATAGTCTTGTTGCTATGTTTGAAAGAGATTTATTTTAAATAAATGAAATCATGCATATCCTAATATTGGTATAGGTCAATGATGCTAAACCTGTAAGTCAAAAAATACTAATCAGAGACTCTGAACAGTATTTGGAAAAAATTCTGAACCAGTTGAAGAAACGCAAAGAACTGATATATACTGCAATTATATGTAAGTAGATATTACTTCACCTAGTAATTTGGGAACTCAAAGTTCATTTGGTAATGCGCGATGTGCACATCGCACATTAAACAAATAGAATTTAATGAACCAGGCGGCACTTTTCTCTGTGTCGTTTCATCATATCGTTTGAGCTATCAGCGTGACTTTCTGAACTACAAATCGTTCCAACACTTACTTTCTACGTTCTTCCTGCAACCTTTGTAGAGCAGTCTCTAAATCGCTTATTCTTTCTTCTCTCATTTCTCTCAAATGTTGCTGAGCTTGTTCGTATGGTGTACTTGGAGCATGACTCGTCAAGGGGTAAGTTGGAGTCAGAGATGAAGGTTGTTCTTGGTAAGCTTGTGTGTGGGCCATTTGAGTTTCGAGGTCTGCACATCTTTTTTTGTATTGTAGAACCTGTAACAGACAAATGAAAATTGAATAGAACTGGCTGATACTTGAAAATCCATATTAAAACTAATTGATACAGTTTATTGTATGATTTTCACTATAAAGGGTTTTACAAAAATCGGCAGTTTACGCTTGAGGAAGCTATTGTATAGCGAAACACGTGTCGCCGCTTTTGTAAAACCCTTTATAGTGAAAATCATACAATGAAGTGTATTTATGAGTTTTCAAATGAAAATTGTTTGCTTCTTGAAGCAAAAACAAATGAAAGAGAATTAATATAGCTCATAAAAGAATTGGAAAATAAAAAATCTGTCGGATTAGATAATATCAAATCAGAAACACTCAAAGCAATAATTTCCCAAATAGTCGAACCACTCGCGTACATATTCAANAACGAATTAATGTTTCTGTGGTGTATGTGTTTTCATTTGGTCAGTCCTCATTTTCGTTTGTACCTTTGTTGTCTGACATTTAAACGTTTTTTTGACATGGCAAACTAATTTTTGAGCACCGATGATGAATTTAACAAAGTCCGAAACGTTGGCATAAAACTAAATTTTTTATCTAAGAACATTTTTTATCCTTTTCCCAACCAATAGAAAAAACCGCATTTGTATATAATTTATATTGCTCTACTACTATTTTTATGAAACATGGAGGCATGGGATTGGTTTTGCAAATACATTACCCAGCCATCGGTTTTCTCTAAAAAGATAAATGTCTCCGAACCGGATATAATAATTTCAGGTCATACAATTCCCCTTTCTGCTTCCATAAGTTTGTTGGGGGTTGAAATGAAATGTCTTGGCACAATCGTGTCACTGGAACTGCAAAGGCTGCTTCTAAAAAGTTTGGAACACTGTTCCGAACCAGAAAACTGTACACACCCCATCACCTTTTGATGCTTTATAAAGCTCAGCTCAGACCTTCTTTGGAGTATCGTTCACATGTATGGAGCTCCGTCTCTGAGCATACCCTGAAGCTGCTGGATTTCATCCAGAAAAAAGATATTCGCCTGATTGGAGGCGAATGGCGCATTTTTTATCCCCGTTCTTAATATTTCCTTCTCCCGGAGGATCCATTCTTCTCTACTCACAAGAAGTAGGTACTGTATGAGACATTTTGTAGTTGACAGTTGAAGGCATAATGTCAGAAGTCATTACCAGAATGCTGTGGCTTCCAGTGTCAACCCTCACTCTATTGTACTCTGCATTAGATTGATTTGTGCGATTGGCGATGTGCACACGTCTATATGCAGTCCATCTAGCCTCTTTCTCCAGAAAAATGTGGAGAGATGGTAGATCTGGAAGGATCTCCATGGCAGCTGACGGTGTGGTTACTGGTGACACCACACATGGCCACTATGAAGTCATAAAAGATACTTGTTTTCTCTAGGTCAAGTTTTTTCTGGAACCCTCGCTTTCTCGTGAAGATCTCTCTAGATATTTCGCTTCATTGTAGATGTCTAAAATAGGATATCAGGAGAAAAAGTCAAAAATTTCGAAACGAAGTCGAGATATAAAAATAGCGTAACCCTTCTATGTCTATGTCCCCTGAAATCGATTCAGATAGAGAATAACTTTGAGCCTAGGAAGTATCAATACCTTTGCTTGTAACCTACTAACGAGGGCGGCTTGATTCTGTTGTGCCTGCCGGTATGTATCTAGACGCCTTCTGTAGATCGAAGCTTCTTCTTGGAGACGCTGTCGAAGGTCTCTAGAGTCTTCATCGCTGCTGCCTCCGCCGCCGTCTCCTCTTAACCGACCACCATCTGTCCTGCCTCCACTCCCACTACTCTAGAAATTGAAACCGAAGAAATGTTAGTTTCGGAGGTAATGTATAGCTGACTTTTTATTGAGGAGAAGAAAAAATGTCTTTGATAAAAGTTGTAGACAACTATGGAAGCTATGTTATGAAAATAACTACCAACGCACAAGGCGTTCAAATAAATGTGTGACTCATGAAACTTTACAGGTAGATTTTGGAAACTTTGGCGTGAAATGAGTCTGTTGAAAACACTTTTCTCGTCCCAGAACAAAAATAGTTATCTTATGATGTTAACATGGTTTGCGAAACGTGCATCAAGACAGCATTTTTGTTCTGGAGTGAGATTCAATAGATTGATTTATCATTGAAAAATGTACTGAAAAAATATTGGGGTTTTTGAACATTTATTGATCATTCTGTGTATATTTTAATGAGGAAGTAAAAACCAACACGTTTTTCCCAAATTTCTACTACTCTATACAAATTTCAATCCAGACTTGTTTTCCATGTATGTGAATGTATACACAACGAACAGGGAAAAAAAATCAATGATTGAGATATACCGCAGCATCTATAGGCAGGTTGTCAGACAAGCAAAAGAAAGTTACTATAAAAATAGATTCGAACAAGCTGATAACAAATCGAAAGAAACTTAGCAAGTAATTAATGACCCAAGAGTAAATCTAATAAAGTACATGAAGTTATACTTTCACCAAACGTTCTTAATGAATATTACTGGTCTATTGCAGAAAAACTGATTGAAAGATTGACTACTCAGAACGACCCAATGGAATAATTCAAAAACCCCTTCATTTCTGAAACGTGCATTCTATATGACAGTGATAATATGAGCTGAAACAGGTGATTGTTTCCATTGGAAAAAAGTCGTCATCTGGCTACGACGACATTACAGCAAACGTTTTAAAAAATCTCCCAGGTAACACATTACAACTCTTGACCAATATTATTAATGCATCATTTCAATCAAGAAAATTTCCTGACTTCCTGAAGGTATCATTGGTAATACCACTATATAAAGGAGGAAACCAGGACGACCCCTCGCATTATCGGCCTATTTCCCTAATTCCCACATTAGGAAAACTCATAGAAAAACTAGTCAAGCTGAGGATAACTGTATTTCTGTCAAAACATAAAATCATCAATGAAGAACAGTTTGGCTTTCAAAGTGGTAAAGGCACTAATGATGCAATTTTCTCACTCATGGAAAAAGTTTATACTGGAATCAATATTGGCGAGGTTGCTGCTGCAGTATTTTGCGATTTCTCGAAGGCTTTTGACTTTGTGGATCACGAAATACTGCTGAGGAAGCTTCCTTATTACGGTTTCAGAGGAGTGATACTGAGCTAGTTCAGCTCATATCTGTCAGGCCGTAGCCAGATGGTGGAAACAAACCACCGCTCAGAAATTGGAAAAATACATAAGGGTGTACCTCAGGGTTCAATACTAGGGCCAACATTGTTCCCCATCTACGTCAACGATTAATCTAAAATAACTTCGTTAATAATGAATATTTTTTCATGAAATTTTGGCACTCTGAATCCAGTGGCGTAGTGATTTTTTCAATAAAAAAATCGCTAATAAAAAATTCCGATTTTCGACTTAGAAAAAATATCGTAGTATGCCCTGAAACTTTAATAAACATTTCAAATTTTGTCCCAAGGTAGACCTTTTAGTACTTGACATAAAAAAAAATATTAAAATCGATTTACAACTTCAAATTTTAGGGGGGTTAGGTTTTATGTATGAGTGAAAATAAATGCTTTGTTTTTACATATAATTGCATTAAAGAATAAGTGAAACTTTTTCCACAAGATCAATCTAATGACAATAAAGTATATTCTCTATCTCTCTCTCTCTCTCATATATTACCTCTGTTCTCGACTTTGGCCTGAAAGGTGGCGGTCTTCTGCTTTCCATTTTGGGATCTGATTTTTTCACAGATGTCTGAAAGATGGAAAAATATTTGTTCCTCAATCTGATTGAAACTTGAAATCGTTTAGTAGTATGTATTAAAAAGGAACCGTTCTTGAAGTTGAACCGTCATCGTACTTAAAAAGTGCGCAAATGAAGTTGCACCAGTATTTTGCAGACTTTCCAATCTGTCTCACAAGAAAAGGGGTTTTCCTTCTTGTTGGAAGATTGCTTGGGAACAACATTCGATAATTCTAAACAAATGAAAATGATACTACACTTACTCGAGGCATATCCAGCAACACAGTTCCACAAGCGGCTGCTGCAGGAAGCGGTGGTCGCGGCGGCGGAGACGCGTCGCGGGCGTCGGTTCGCGGTTCAATGAGTCGATCCGCTGCCGGCGTCGCGGTCAGGTAGATGGGGAGGCGGGAACCTGCCGGAAGGCGCCACAACATCCCCCTCGAATGACGCACCCCTCTCGCCCTCGCAGGATACTCCCCTTCGCGACGACCGCGTGATGCACGCCGAGGCGCAAACTTTTCTTTCCGGAGCCGCAATTTTGCGGATAGGAATTTGCTCGGATTTGTTTTTTGGGGTCGGGGGATCCCAGAGTCAGGAGTTTTTCGTTATGAAAATACGTAATCCAAAATAAAATCTGTTCCTAGATTCACAATGAACTTGACGAGTATATTACACGAAAAATAATGCGGTTATAATAAACGAGTTAATATGATATTCTTTCATGTTTCCCTCAGACAGAATTAATTTTTTCTCGTATTTTTCATTCCTAACATCCTTTATTTTATTTTAGACAAATATATATACTAGATGGCTCAAATCTTCGTAGATCAACAGACTTATGGCGCTACTATTAAATCCTTATTATTTTCAGTTAATCCTAACCTTCAAAAGAGACGTGTACAATGTACAAGTTTCACAGCCGTTGGGCAATAAATTTGTGGTACAGTACATTTTGAGTGAAATAACTTTTGATAGTTTAAAGAAAATGGATAAAAAGGAATTTCGTGTGGCGTTAAAGCATTGCTTTTTGGCAAATAAAGTTTAGGTTTGAACGAGGTGAAACGAACAACGAGGACGATGCACGCATTGGACGCAGCAAAGTGGATGTTACCGACGAAAACACAAAAAAGGCTACAAAATAATGTTGAATGAACTCAAAGTGAAGTTGATTGATAGCTGGGGTTCTAAGGAACATGTTGGATATATGGTGCATGAATATTTGGGTATGGAAAGCTCTGTTTTGGGTGGGTGCCGTGCTAGCTCACGATCCACCATCTACAAAAACGAATTGTTGATTCTGAGGTTATGGTATCTGAGGTTCTGAGGTTATAGTATCAGTTTTTTGGGATATGCATGGTATAATATCCATCGACTTTCTTGAAAAGGCAAAAACTATCAACAGCGACTAATACATACCGTTAATGGAGAGTTCAAAGAACGAAATCGCGGAAAAACGACCCCATTTGAAGAAAAAGAAAGTGCAGTTCCATCAAAACAATGCACCATGTCACAAATTAATGAAAACGACGGCAAAACTGCATGAATTGGGCTTCGAATTACATCCGCATCCACCTTATTCTCCACATCTGGACCCCAGCGACTTTTTTCTGTTCTCAGACCTCAAGAAAATGCTCGTTCGAAAGAAATTCAGCGCCGATAAAGAGGTTGAGAGTGAGGCAATTGAGACTCATTTAGACTAAAATTCACAACACGTGAAACGATTTGTCGTCACAAGCTTTATTTTCAGAACTATCGCGACATGTTCTGCTATCACAGTAGCTTTTTCGTAGTGAATAACATAGTACAAACAATTCTTCCCTCTAACTTTTATGCAATATGCCTATGCAATCACCAGTGAGAACTACCTGCTCAGATACATAGTCAATCATTACCTAGTGCATATATTATTTCTACATCTACTCAACTTTCATGTACTCCAGATACCTCAATTATAATTACCTAGAGCATACATTCCTTCTACATCAATAATATGTCTACAAAGATTAGGATATCATCGGTTTCCAAGAAAACAAGTTCAGTGATGGTGATCTTTTCAAATTCAGTTGGTTATTCGGTGAAGTTTATTAATTTCCAATGTTCCCGAATGATTTAGCTTCAAACCTTCATTTTCTATGTGCAAATCTCCGTTGAAGATATGATTTTGAATGTGTTGAACTCGTTTTATTATTTACATAGCTCATATGATGTTCCTGGATGCGATTCCAGAATCCTATGCCGGTTTGACCAATATATACTTTAAGGCAGGTTCCACAATTTGATTCACATACTCCTGATTTCTCGAATTTGGATGTTGTGTCTTTATTATTTTCGACTAACTTTCCCAACATTGGGTAATACGTTGGTCAAACCGGTAGAACATACAGGAACCGACAAAATGGTTTAGACTTTCGCGGCTGAGGTTTTCAGTGTCACTGTTTTTCGAGTTTGAAAGCCGTGGATTTTTGGAATTTCTGACGTTTCGCTGGCGCGTGTGGCTAGCTTCTTCAGAGGTTTAACCATCATGGCTTGCTGTTCGATGACTAACTTTTAGGGTTCGTAAAGTTATTTATGCCTTGTCAGGTAATAAGTTGTATTGGTACCTGTACTTGTACCTGTACTTGTACTTAACCTGTACTTATACCTGTACTTAAACCTGGAACATAAAACATCCACAAACACACGGAGAATTTCAACAGAAAAGAAGAAGCGGTGAACCTCAATCGAATATGGAATCCCATTTTAAGGAACTCGAGAATAACAAACCAGGTTCCAGGTTCAAGTACAGGTACAAGTGCAGGTACAAGTAAAGGTACAAGTAAAGGTACAAGTACAGGTACAAATACACGGCTTTCAAACTCAAAAAACAGTGACACTGGATACAGAAATCGAATAACCAAAAAAAGCGATTTCACTTTTCAGTTTTTAATCTTGTCTTTTATGCGTGAAAAATAATACCCAAATATATTTAATCGATTCTGTACCTACCACCGTGGAAGCGACAGCGATTCTTAAAGGATCTAATAAAAACCAGCAAACAGACAATTTATGAACTGAATTCACAATGCCACAAATTTTGTTAGAATGTAGAAACGCACAACTCGCATAATATCGATAAGCGTGACACAAGAAAATAAATCAAACGAAATAATTGAGTACACAACTATTGAGCTTAATTTCGTTTCGAAACCAAACCCTTTGATAGCCGAGGATATGAAATACCGAAGACGAGGAAAGATAATTTGCATAACCGAGAGCACTTGAAAGTTAGATCTAGGAACATTCATCAGAACAAAAAATCACCAAGGACTGTTTTGTATTAAGCGAAGTAGAATTAACGAAGTTCCAGTCGCACTGCAACACCCACAAACAACGACTACCTGAAAGAGAACCTTACTTTCGATCAAGGTATGTTGTGAACATGATTTATTGCCTCATGAATACCTTGTCATGTAGATAAAAGATTTGTATGAAAAACGGATATTGATTTCTTCCTTCCGACGTGATTATGATTGTTACACAAGTTTATGAAAATTACCGCGCCACTGTTATTGTCATCATCTAGAGGCTTTTTTTACACTCACCGAGATTCCTGGAACAAAAATATTGAAAAATTGAAAATAACCTTTTTTATTTGAAAAGGCCCCGTATGGCACTTTTTTGGGTAGTATGTGATATCCCAATCATAAAAATATATGATATTTCCATGAGAAAAGAACATAAGAAGAACTTCAACTTCATTACTGTCGGGGAAGAACAAAGTTGCTGCAACAAATATGCTTGCCGTTCCAATCCTACTCTACTCGTTTGGGGTAGTGAAGTGGACTCGGGAGGAGCTGTATGAACTCAACGTAAAGACCCAAAAAATCGTGCATATCTATAGGATATTGGATCCTAAATCGGCCGTTCCACGGTTGTACTTCCCTCGACAACAGTAGACTTTTGAGCTTGGAGTGTCTACATGACAGAATGGTACTAAATGTAGCCTGTAAAGTTGTCAGAAGGGTGAACTTTTCAGTTTGGCCTTTATTACACTTTAATAGATTATCAATTGATTTAGCTTTGTTTACTTTTCAAATTGTGGAAGGTTATATAGGTACCTAAAAAAAACAGTAAGAAATAATTGATTTGTTCAAATTATTGGTTCGCTGATATCACACAATTACATAATCGCGCGAACTTTAATTATGATCAACATAACACTCGTTCGCGAGGTCCTAATTAGATTTGATTTGCGTATAGTATGTGTGTCGGGGTAAGAACACAAACGGCCGTGTTTGTTATCTCCGGATAAATCTCCGTTCGATATATGGTTCATCCCCATTCCGAATCCGGGGCAGATCGTGCCAGTCGCCACCATCCAATTATTCAGCGATATATTATAATGTGCTTATAATATTTTTGTGGATAATATATGGGCTGGTTCTCGAATTGGAACGGTTTTGGATTATTTTAAAATTAGCGATCGTGATCGAAGGGTTAATCGGAATTTGTCACATAGTGTTCAGGCTTCAATACAAACTTTTCCTTCATTGGTAGGTGAGACAAGATAAGTACACACTTGAAGACCGATTGAAATGGTGGATATTTACTGCATTAAAAATACGGAGGTGTGGATCGTATTTTCTGCCGCCAAAGACGGGTTTATGAAAATAGTCAAAGCGGATTTCCACCAAACGAACTCGCTTGCGACTAAATTCGTTTTCAAAAACAGAAACAAATAACTTGTTTTAGTTTCGAATACAAACTGGAAACTCGAATTCCACCAAACAAGCGAAAACTGATCTGAGTCGTGTGTTTTGTTGTGACATGTTTTATGTTATTTCCACAAACGATTCATCATGTCTTCTCTAGACGATGTTTTTAGAATGGCCTGCGATTTTTTATAATCGAATCTTTCGAACGAAAGCACAAAAAACAAGATATAGTTCAAGTAAGTGCAATTCTACCTTCCAACAGCTCCCCTTTAATGATATAGTTAGGGAGCTAACTAATTTCGTTATTCAATGATCATTTCTGATTATATAAGCATTACAATATAGACTCTATCCAGATCACTCTGTCAAGATGGTTGTTCTGATTATTGGAGTCCTTGGTGGAATGATGTCTTCTCTACTCTCGAATCTTGAAATCATACCGGCTTGCCGCACTAAGGCAGAAATCTTAGCCGCACAGATGCAGAAGGCTGTCATTCTTGGCTCACTGCGCTTGCTCAGGGCACATTATTCTCGGACCCAATGCTCACTTACCCCACGGCGTGGGGAGTGGTCGCTGGTTTATAATGCTGGCGCGCCCTCCCGAATGGATCGAGGCTTCGCATAGCGGGAACAATACAA